TCCCCCTCGATGCCACTCCCACCTTAGCCCTGCCCCCCCCCTCCAGCCCTCAACAAACTGCACCCTGACCCTGACCCTGTCCGGCTCCTCCTGTCACCGAGGATCCTTTTGGGGACCCCTCCCCCGTCTGCCCCTCACCCCTCAGGACTCAACAGAGGAACGGGTGGGGGGTGGGCTGTACCTGAGCAGGAATCGAGGGTATGGCTGGCGGGAGGCGAAGCCAGCCCTGCGGACCCTCACGTTCTCCAGCAGCCCCAGGTAGGCGACCTGGTGGCGGCAGTGGCCCTCGTCCAGCTGCGCGGCCACCTTGTCTTCGTTGGGTTTGATGCAGCGCACATAGAAGGGCTCCTGGCGGGGCAGGGGGTAGTGGGAGAGGGTCACGGCCTGGCCCCAGGACGTCTCACTTGAGTACTGATGGGCCCTCCCTGCTGGAGAGGGGCTCACAGCAGAAAGAAAAAACGCCCCCTCCCCGTGGTGCTCCGAGGCAGGCGGGGGCCTGACTGGACAGCCAGGTATAGACAAAGGACCTGGAGGGGTCCGTGGTGGGGCTGGGACGTGGCTGTACCTTGGAGGCCAGGTTTTCGACTAGGGCCACCATGGAGTTCTTGAAGAGTGTGCCGGCAGTCAGGGGGCGCTTGGTCACTTCTGTGATGTCCTGCTGCCCATCCGGCCACATGGCCCGCAGGGTAGGGTCCGAGCTGAGGACACAGGCCGCATGCTGAGTCACCCTCGGGGAGGCAGCCCCCACCCAGCTCAGCCATTCATTGGTGGTCAGGCAGGAGCCAGACCCAAGCACCCGAGGGCCTTGCTGGCCCGATCCCAAGCCACTCACCTGTTGTAGAGCAACCGCTTGAAGTCCTGGAAAAGGGTGTCTCTGTTCTTGTCGATGAAGCCCTGAACGGAGTACCTGCGGAGACAGAGCTGGGCATGAGGGATGAGGGTGCCCCTCGAGCTCTCCCCATGCCTCTGTCTTCACAGGTGGGCCCCTTTCCCTTCCCCAGAAGTCTTTCTCCTAAAGATGAGTCCAGTGGTGGTGCCCGTGGCTCTGGACCCAAATGTCACGGCCCTGAACCCTGCTCTAGTGCATACATGCTGTGTGACCTGGGACAAGTTACTAAACCTCTCTGTGCCTCAATATATATATCACACGCTCAGAACAGTGCCTAAAAACCCAGCAACTGCATTACAGCCAGGAACTCCCAAGTCACGGTCTGTCTTAACCCTTTTTGCATCCTTTCACTGCGAGGATGCTCGGGGCCACACTCTCGGCCTGTTTGTAGCCCTGAGCTGTGCCCACACCAGGTATCTGGCTGCTTTGTCTACTCCAGTCCTCCCTGTGAGGGATACCTGAGCCACACGCGCCTCTGTGAGTCGCCTCAGATCTGATGGGGGATGAGGCGAGTGACAGGTGAGTAATAGTAACCACCGCGATTTCTGGAGAACACGCTGGGCCTTGGTGCTCAGGGTGTGGCCTGAGGACCGGGTGCTTGTTAGAAACACAGACTCTGACCCCTCTGCCCTAGGTGCTGACCTGTACCTGTACCTAGCTCGTCGTGTGACAGAGTGACCCTGGGCGCCCAGCAAAGGCCCCACCTGGCTCCACCTGGGATGGGGCCCAGGTGTGGGCGTTTCTGAAAGCTCCCCAGAAGACTCTATGATTTGGCCAGGGCTGAGAACCACTATCTTAAAAGCCCTGTGGGGAAGGGTATGTTTCAAGTGTCTTAAAAGGGAGGGGGGTAGCTCGGCTGGTGTGGCCTAGTGGTTGAGAATCATCACACACACCAGGAGGTCACCAGTTCGATTCCTGGTCAGGTCACATGCCCGGGTTTTCGGGCTCGATACCCAGTAGGGGGCGTGCAGGAGGCATCGATGTGTCTCATCCATGTTTTTCTCTCTCTCTCCCTCTCCCTTCCTCTCTACACAATCAATAAAGTCATTTTTATAAAAAAGGAGGGGGCAGACGGGAGGACCGAAGGTGGGGTGGGGGCCTTACGTGACGTCCCCCGCATAGTGCTTGATCCTGAAGTCTCGGCCAAACTCCATGGTCTTGTCTGTGGGGCAGAGCTGATGGGGGGACAGCCAGGGTCAATGCACAGAAGGGGGGGTCTGCAGGGAAGGGGTGGACAGTCCTGCAGGGGGCGCCGGGCCACCACTATGGCCCTTCTGAGCTGGGCAGCGTGGTGCCTGTGGGGCGCAGGCCAGCACCATGACCAGCTGGGGCTGGGAGGTGGGGTGCGCGCAGGAGGGGGGCACCTGGCGGCTGGTGTAGTGGGCGTGGTGGCGGTGGTGCGTGTCCAGGGTCTGCAGGAAGATCCGGTCTGTGATGGTGCCGGCGCTGCTGCAGGCCTCGTCCAGCACGGCCAGGATGCCCCGGTGGGGCCGCTCGACCAGGTCCACGATGGTGGCGTTGTTGAAGTACTCCACCTGCCGCAGAGTGAGCGGGCGGCTCCCAGCCTGGCCGGCTGGCCTCTCCCCCCGCCCAGCGCCTCTTCCCCGCCAGGGCCCGTGGTGCAGGGCGGCGGGCACTCACGCTCTGCCAGGCGATGCCCTCCCGCTGGTACTCCTCCTGCTCCTGTTTCAGGATGAGCTGGATGAACAGCTGCTGCAGCTTCTCATTGCAGTAGTTGATGCAGAACTGCTCGAAGCTGGGCAGGGGCCCACCAGCATCACGCCACTGCCGGTGTGGGCTTTTGCTCCATGTGGCAGCCTCGCCCCAGCAGCTCCTCTGAAGCTGGCTCACGGGGTCCGGTGCCAGCCCCCCCACCATGGCCTCACTGTGGGGTGGTTCTCCCGAGCTGGGCCCTTCCTTACCCCTGGGCCCCACCTCTGGCACATGTGCCCACAGCAAGGGGAAGTGAGCTTGGGATTTTGCCTTCCCGGGTATCACTGAATGGGTGGCACTACTGAGGCAGGCTTGGATGTGACCCTGGGGTCAGGGACCAGCCAGGACAGACACCAGACATCCCGCTCCCCAGCCAGCCAAGCTCCCTGGGACTGAGGGGG